GGAAAGAGGTAAAAAGGATGATGTGGAGCTGGGGAAAGTGTTGGTGGAAATAATGCTTCCAGGCAACCACGAGAGCTGGCGGGGCGAGATCCACCTTATTCAGGACCAGCACCAGGGCCAGACCAAGTTCTCCAGTCACGTACTCATAAAGTGCTGGTGGGAAATTCACAACCTGGGACAGGGTTGGTAAGGGGATGAGCAATGGGAGGTCAACCCAGATTTCTCTGCCTCCAGCTCCCCACTCAGCAGGTAAAGCTCGGACACAAGACCCTGGTGGTAGCAGATTCTGGGGCAAAAAGGATAAATCAGCCAAACTGAACTAGGAAGACAAAGCAGGGATAAGCAATATCTGTGCATTTGTGTAGGAGTGTGTGTCCATATGCCATTCTGGACCTCCAACCTAAATGTCCCACACACTTCCCTTTCTCCCACTGGAGAACAACAATAAAGTGATAGAGCAGGTCCACACAGCAGCCACCCAGCAGCAGAGTCTAGAGACTTAACTACTACTCCAGTATTCCAGGTGAGTCTTGTGCTGACTGATATGACAAAGCAGGGGGAAGCCCCCAGCTGCCTTCATGGAATCAATCCCCTGGAGCTCCACTCGGAGACTTCCTATTGGTTTAACTCTGCTGGGCTGGGAAACAGGATATGTGGCTTTTTGTCAAAGGAATAAGGAAAAAGAGAGTCGGTTGACCAGGAAAGGAGTAATAGGCTGTGACATTGATAAATAAAGGACTGAGTCCCTGACTACAGACATCAGCATGGAGTAGAAGAGACTAAAAAGAAGGATACTTCTTTGTCTCCTAATTCCTGCCTCTGCCCTTCACCCCACAAGAACCTTTCTCCTTCCTCTGGCTTTCCCAGCCTCATCCCAGTACTCACTGGATGTCGGATATCAGTGATAAGCAGGACAATGTCAGACATCTCTAACACTCGCCACATCTGTCTCCACGTCTGGAAAATCAAGGTTGGTGGAAAAGAACCTGAGTTCAGAGTCCCTTTTCTGCCTGACCCCAGACCAATTTGACCATGGGTCACTATGCCCCACTCCTGTCCCTACTCCATCCTCACCTCCAGATTGTGCTCAAAGTAGCTGAGTTTCTCCGAGGTGTAAGCCGCATGAATCTTCCCGAGATATTCCTGGAAGCTCCGTTCCTCCTGGCTCGTTAGTTGCTCCTTGGACATCTCATAGCTCCAAGGAGGACGTCGAGGAAAGTCCAGGACTGGGAAATCAAGAAAAAGTCCAAGTGAGTCTGAAGATAGTTTCAGGACTCGAGGGTACCTCCCACTTCTTCCTCACAGTCAGCTTTTACTCTTCCACACTCCTTCCCCCAGCCCACTGCCTGTCTCAAACAGCCAGTTGTTGAGCTCTCACTCACCTGAGCCAGGCTGATAAACCTCCCGGATGTCCAGCTCCAGCACCTCAGCACTGACGGGCTGTAGTACTTGCTCCCGGGCTGCTCTTTTTCTCCTCTCTACCTCCTCCCGGCTGTCACGCTCAAAATGCAAGCGGTATCTAGCGGGACAGGGTCCACAGCAACCATCGCAATCTTGTGGCCACAAACTCCCCTCTTGGGCAGACAACTTCGCAAAGCTTTCTCTTCAAGGTTGTTTGCTTCCTTTCTGAGTCGGACCTCCCCCAAACTCCTCTTTCATGTAATATTCGGCCTTCTCCTAAGCCTTGTTCGTTTAATATGCCAAACCCACTCCAGCCCCTCTGAAAGTGAAGGTTGTGGCCCGCTTCCGTGAGCACAGCGGCCCGCTGCGAAAGTGGCATCACAGCCCCACTACCTCCAGTTTCAAGCCTCCACCAGCGGCACCAGGCTTTTCCCCCAGCGCTCTACCTTCCTGGTAGGCAGGGAAGGCCTAGCCAGCGCCCCCCTCCCACTCTCACCGATTTGGATCATATCCTCGCAGGCCCAGCCCCTGAGAAGGCTGCTGGTTGAGCCTACGGATGTGATGGGTCACAGACTCCCCGTCTGAAGTGTCGGTCTGCTCCTCCCGCCGCTCCCGGCTCCCGCTGCGGCTGTTGGAGCTGGATCGCAGCCCATCTTGAAGCCCTGCGGGGCGGAGCCAGTGATGCCAGTGCTGGCCGCCTCTGAGGGGGCAAAGACCCCCTTCTCCGGTCGGCCTGGCTTTCCCCCTTCACCCCACCCCACTTCTTCTGAGGCCCGATCCTCACAGCAACCCAGCTCAGGACCCTCTTGGATGTGCGTGGGGATAGTCATTCCTCCTCCGGAGATCTGCGGGGATGGCGCCCGTTGGAGCTGGAGGGATTCCCCTCCCCCAACTCTCCATCCTTCCCCACCCCTTCCAAGTAGGGGGGCTGGGGTGACGGAATCCCCTCCGCTGTCGCCCGCGCGCGTCGGCGCGCGGCTACCACCCCTTCCCACGCCCCCAAGAGGTGCGACGGGCACACCCCTCCTTTCAGACGTGCGGGAACCCGAGCCCCGCCCCCTCCTCTCGCTCCCGCACTGACCTCGCTTCCGCTCCCTCTTGTCCTGCAACTGTTTCTTCTTCTGCTTCACGCTGAAGGGCTTCTTCCTCGGCATGGCCGGGACCAGTCACCTGGCCCGCCCTCCACCGAGCTCCCGCCGTCTCAACTGACTCCCCCCTCCCCAGGCAGCCCCTGCCGCAAGGGCCTGGGACCCTCAAGGGGGCGGGGCTAGGAGGTGACGTCAGCGGGCGGGCCGGCCGATTTGCCCCAGTAGCAGGTCTGGAAGGCGGAAAAGGGGAGAAATACGGTCACTTCCCTCCGAAAGTGGGGCGAAATGATGTAGGGTGAGCTCCCCGCATGTGAGAGCCAGTGGTATCAGGAAGGCGCAGCAGCAGCGAAGGAGGCGCGCGTGGGAGGATCGGGCTCACTTCGTCACGGACGCTACCAACTTGCGCTCGGAAAAGGGGGTACGCGTGTCATCACTACCTTGCGCGTCTGGGAGTAGCTACCACTCACCTGGAGGGGACGGTGGAGCAGGAGGCGAGTCTCCCTATCTAGGGGCGAGGGGCGTAGACACTCCCAAGCTGAATTCCCAGCCCCTGGGCTTGACCTGATTGGAAGCCGAGACTGCGCGCTCAAGAACGAAGCCCAGTTGCTGCGTTACACTGGGAGCAGGGTCAGAGGTCTTGATGGGCGGAGGCGGCCTGAAGCGTCCTGGGCGCCGCCCTGCTGGGACCCAAATTCCTGGTGGGAAGGATGAGAAGGAACAGGTTTACAGATCATAAGGCGAGCGTGGGCTAAGAAGGAAACCCAGGTGGGACGAGGACTTTGAGAGGAAGGTCAGAGGTCACGAAGTTGTGCCTGCAGCTGTTACCATAGTAACACGCAACCGGATGTGGCGATCTTACGGTGCGACAGTCCTCAGACCTGGCCTGAGAGCTTGATAACTCTGTTGCACACTGTGAGGGGTCGGTTGTGGAGTGCTTTTCAGCGAAAGAAGAGAGGAATTTTTTAAAGCATAGGAAAGGTTTGAGATTGCCGCCATGCCTGGCAGAGATCGAGGGAAGCAGCTGATGTGAAAACTAGCAGCACAAAGGTTCCCGCAGCCTTCCGGAAGTTAAATGGCGGGAGCTCAGCAGGCGGGTCCGCCGTCCCCCCGCCGGAAGCGGAAACAGAATCTCAGCGTGCCCCTTTCCTCACTGCCCTCCAAATCCCGCTACAGCCATTGCTGCAATCACAATGCTGAAACGAAAAAAGCAGAATCAGCAGCAGCAGCAGCTGCAGCAGCCCCAACTGCCAGAGCGAGAAGAGATTGGAGACGAAGAGGATGAGAGTCGCATCGGTGAGGATCTCGGGAAGAGTGTGCAAATTCCTGTCGGTCGGAGCGAGGTGTTAAGGGCCGAAAAGGTGCGGGGGAGGAGGCTCCAGCGGAATGAGTAAAGGCGCACTCGCTGGTGAGGGTGTGGAGGGCCTCTCCCGGATGGAGCCCTGAAAGAGGAGTTCTCTTACTTGAACCTTTAGCTTTAATCCGTCCCCTAAACCTGTATGTAGAAGGCAGGGAAGGAGTGGATAGAGAGCACGTGTGCGCCGCTGCAGAACTTAGAGAAGTTGCAGGTTGCCGATGACTGGGATAACAGTTTAGGTCCTTACTTTCACAGGGAAGGTGGAAGTGTGTCCTAAACTACTGGAGGAGCAGGGAGAGCTATCTGCTTGGCCAACAGCTAAGGAGAGGGATCGGATTTCCTCTGGAAGTTTTAGATAGCAACAGGTTCAGGGAAAGAAAATTGTAGGTTATCTCTGCATTATCCCCTTGGTCCAGTCTCCACTTTTAGCAAATCCTGAAAACTTTTGCAGAGGAAAGAGCAGATATATGGGTGAAAACTCAGATAACATTGCTGAGAATATACTTGGCTTTAGTGGGGAGATAAAGAAATGAGAACAAGAACAGGATCATCAATCCATTATGATGACCATATTTTCATGTCTACTCTTAGGACCACCCAGCCTTCTGGGCCCTCCCCCTATGGCCAATGGAAAGCCTGGTGACCCCAAGACAGGTGAGGAGGAAGGGGCCTTGATCCTTTGATTAGGTCTTGGGGAAGGGAGCAACGGCAGGACTAAAACCCAGGGAGGACTTAAAATCAAAAGATCAGGGATTCAGTACCTAAATGGAGGTATATTATGTATGCACAGATTGGAAAACTTAATGTTGTAAACATGTCAGTTCTTCCCAAATTGATCTATAGATTCAGTGTATTCCCTGTTATGAGCCTTATATTTTTGTGTGTGGAAATAAACATTCTATATTGTTACATGAAAATGCACAGATCGGGGTGAGATTGCAAAAACAATCTTGAATGGGAAGGCTTGCTCTAAATATCAAGACTTAACCTTAAAGCTATAGTACTTGTGATGATGTGCTGTTGGTGCAATGATAGATGTAACTCAATAGAAGAGTCGAGTATAAAGACTCTAATAACAGGCCCACACATATATGGACACTTCATTTATGACGAAGATAGAACTAAAATAGTGGTCTTTTCAGTAAATTGTGCTGGGTTAATTGGATATTCATGGGAAAAATGAAATTTGACCTCCTATTCCTACCATATGCAAACATCAATTCCAGTATAAAAGAGAAATAATTCTAGAAAACAAATATATTTCATGATCTTAGAGTAGGTAAGAGTTCTAGGAAACACACATTAACCATAAAGGAAAGATTTATGAACAACTACATTAGAAAATACAAACTTCTATTAATCAACTGACACCATTAAGAAATTAATAGGGAACCATGGAGTAGAAGATACTTGCTACAAATATAACCAATAAAGAGCTCATATCTAGAATATATAAAGAACTCTTCTAGAAAACCTATTAGAGAAATGGGCAAAAGACCAGAATAGCCACCTCATTAAAACCACATTTTAAATGGCCAAAAACAGGTGAACTAGAACATCTTTAGTCAACAAATAAATACAAAATAAGAACATACCACTTTGAAATCGAAACACTTGTGCACTGTTATGGGACTGTAAAATAGTACAAACACTGTCGAAAATAATATGGAAGTTCCTCAAAAAATTAACAACTACTGTATGATCCCACATTCCACTTCTAGATATACATCCAAAAGAATGGAAAACGGGATCTTAAAAAGATATTTGCACACCCATGTTCATGGCCGGACTTTTCTTAATAATTAAGAGATGGAAGCTATCCACATGTCTGTTGAATATGTAAACAAAGTGGTATATTCGTGCAATAGAATATTATTCAGCCCCAAAATAAGAAAATCCTGTCATATGCTGCAACATGGATGAACCTTGAGGCCATTATGCTAAATGAAATAAGCCAGTCACAAAAAGAGAAGTACTGTATGATTCTACTCATATGAGGTATCTAAAGTAGTTAAATTCATAGACACAAAGTAGAGTGGTGATTGCCAGGGGCTGGGTGAAGGGGGAAAAGGAGTGGTTAGTAGCTATAGAGTTTCAGTTTTGCAAGATGAAAAAGTTCTGGAGATCTGTTTCACAACAATGTGAATTTACTTAACACTGGTGAGTTGTACACTTAAAAGTAGTTAAGATGGCAAATTTTATGTTACATGTTTTACCACAAATTTTTAAAAAAACCCTTTCACACAACAGAATAACAAAAATGAAAAAGATTGACAATACCTAGTGTTGTCAAGGCTGTGGAACAACTGCTGGTGGGGGTATAAATTGGCATAAACACTTTGGGAAAAAGTGACTTTATTTGTTAAACTTGACTATACATATACTCTAGGACCCAACAATACCTCTGCTAGGTAAATACTCAACAGAAATGCATACATATGTATAACAAAGACATGTATAAAAATGTTCATAGCAGCATTTTTCCTTATAGCCCCAAACTGGAATCCACCCACATGTCCACCATCAGTAGAATGGATAAATAAGTTGTTGTATGTGCATGCAATGGGATACTACACTGCAATGAAAACGAACGAACTGCTACAGGCAACCTGGATGAATCTCACAAACATGATGTTGAGCGAAAGGAGCCAGACACAAAAGAATGCAGACTGTATGATTCCACTTATGCAAAATTCAAAAACAGGCAAAAACTAACCTATGGTGCTAGAAGTCAGGACAGTGGCTACTTTTGGGGAGGAGGGTGGAATAGTGGGGGGAGGGACACAAGGGTGGGTGACTTCTGAAGTGCTAATAAGGTCCTATCCCTACACCTGGGTGGTGGAAAACACAAGTGTGTTTACTTTGGCAATAATTGAATTGTGCACTTAAAATTGGTGTATTTTTTGTATGTATAATGTACTTCAATAAAAAGTTTTTTAAAAAATCAGGGCTGCTTTATCAAGATTGAGCTGTCTGTCAATTGATCAACTTTCCATGGCTTTCTCTCCCCCTCTCCCCCCATCCCCTCTCCCTCTCCCTCTCCCTCTCCTCTCCTTCTCCCCCTTCCTGTCTCTCTCCCTTTCTTTCTCTTCTCTTCTCTTCTCTTCTCTTCTCCTCTTCTCTCTCTAGCTCTTCACAGAGGTCCTCCAGGATCAAAGGGACCCATGATTCCACCACTGCTGAGCCTCCCACCTCCTCCCCGGAACAGAGGTTTAATTTGGGGGGGCTTAGGCCCCAGATCCAGCCCATACGGTCGTGGTTGGTGGGGGGTCAATGCTGAGCATCCTTTTCCCGGACCAGGCCATGGTGGTCCCTCCAGGGGAGGCTTTCACAAAGAACAGAGACATCCTCGAAGGCTCAAAAGCTGGTCACTTGTCAAGAATACCTGCCCACCCAAGGATGGACCCCAAGTTATGGAAGGTGAGGTCCGTTTTTTTATGCTTGTATACATTTAATACCCATGGTCCCAGAGTGACCGTGACTTCTCCTTTGGGCTGTCCATTGTCCTTTTGAAGTAGTAGTCCTGAATGTTTTTTCTCCTAGGAGAAAGATATTCTAAAATATCTGGACACAGTAGGGAAATATCTGATCACTCTACCTCTGCTTTCTGTTACATTTGTTTTCTGTTTTACATTTTAAATTACCCAATTTTCACTTGTTCACAGACAAATCTGACCGCCCTGTCTGCCGACACTTTGCCAAAAAAGGCCACTGTCGATATGAGGACCTCTGTGCCTTCTACCACCCAGGCGTCAATGGACCTCCTCTGTGAGACTGGTGCCTTCCCATCTAAGCTGGAAGGAGCCTTCTGTGACTTAGCGGCCATTAATTTCCCTGTGGCCCTGTGATGGCTACTCTGAGGCTGTTCCACCCACCACACTCAGTCGGTGACACCCACCCCCATCCATCACCTCCCCATTTGGAGTCCAGAGTTGTGTTTTATCACTGGTGTGCATTGTGCACTCTTCTGATCCAGCCTCCGGAGACTCACCTTCAGGAACCCATCTTTGCTCCCTTTGCCTCCTGGATCCTCTTCTCCCTCGCCAACTGACTGCTGAACAGGAAACCTATTTGGTGCTGTTTTCTCGCGTATCTGTCCACCCAATCCCCAGTAATACCCTTAATTTCTGAGCCGTGGAGCAGTTTCCTACCATTCCCTTCTTCCACCTGATAAAATGTGTTAAGTCCTTTTTATGTGATATCCACTACCCCCAATGTTGTCAGCTGCCCTGTGAAATTCACCAGCTTGTCTGACAAGTCAAGTTTTGATGACTGGTACAGAGTCACTCTCTGAAAGTCCAATCTCCCTTTTGTACTTAGTAGTTTCTGCATCAGTAGCATGATCCCTGCCACTTTGGTCTGTGATTACTGTTTTGTGAAACTTCATCCCCTTGTAGCCTTTCTTAGTGTCCGTGACATTTTTGTGATTTCCCAACACTAGAGTATTTCTGCCAAAATGAGTGAGGCTCTCCGTGTCCTCTAGACTTTCTTCACGTCCCTACATGGGAGAATTGTGAAACTTTCCATAAGATGACCTCCCTGGGCCTCCCATTCTTCTGGTGTCAGTTTTTCTGGTAAAGCTTCTGATGGGCTTGCCCTGTCTCCTCTTCACCCCATTTTAGTCATTGCGAGGCCACGAGCCCTTTCATTTTGAATTCTGTGAATCTCTGTTTGGCTTACCTTTGGGTGGAACCTGGACAGTACTGTTGCCCTCATCCAGCCTTCTTCCCCTACATCCCTGGCACTGGTGGTTTTCTGTGAAAACGGCAGTGAACAGGTTCAGTTTTAAATTAGCCCTGAAGATGTGGGTCAGGAGTTGTATGGGCAAGAGGGAGGGATGAGAGTCATTGGAGAACTGAAAATGAATTTTTTAAACATTTTTTTATATTGATAATAAATGCAATGGAAACAAGCATTTTCTTTAATCCCTGTGTTCCAGTCATCTCTGGATGTGCAGATGAGGTTATCGTTGGAGTCCATTTATCCTTCATTTAGTTCATACACAGTGGTGACAGAGAAAAGCAAAGCTTAAGTTTCTTCCTGTCTGAAGGAACCAGTGGGAGTCCTGTTAACCAGATCAGGCTGTATTATGTTCAAGGGTAAAGTTTTATAGGAGAAAAGAAAAGCCAGGTAATCATGGAGTAATTTTTAAACATTTTACTGTGTCTGTAGGTTTGATGTTTATGGAGTGGTAATGACAGAATCAGTCTCAATAAATACTCGTGTGCCTGTGGACCAGGTGATATACTAGGCACTAGAGATAACAACCAAAACCAGTGAATTGAAAATCTATAGGAGACACGTTTATCAAAAAATCACAGATAACGTGTAAAGTTGCACCTGTCAATATTGCTGTAAAGAAGCAAGATGTGATGAAAGGGAGAGTATATAATAAAGGCATCTTAGAAGATGACAATTGAGGCAAGCTCTGAAGGACAAGCAGGAAGTGAGGTGGGAGAATGTAGTCCAGGCAAAGGTGTTTGGGAAGAGTAGGAGGCGAGGCAGAAGAAAGGAGCTAGACCACTTGGGGCCTTGCAGAACATAAGGATTTGGATCTTATAAGACAGAATCCTTTGAAGAGTTTCAGGAAGGTCAGTATCACAGCTTGGTTTTTCTAAAAAATCATAGTTTATGGACCTGGCTGGAAGTGGAGGTTAGAAAGTTACTTTGGTAACCCAGATGAGTCACAATGATGGCAAAAACTTTGGTAGTAGAGTTGAAGAAAAGTGGTCTTTTGGAAATAAATCGAAAGTATTTTAGGTTTCTTGGGGTTCTGGCTTGCATAACTAAGTGCCATTTAAAATGAAACGTATTGGAAGAAAACGGGCAGAATAACACTTTCCTTGTGAAGTGGTTGAGTCTGAGCTGCCTTTTTTAAGACATCTGAGGAGAGAGAGTTGGATATACAGGTCTTGTATTCAGATTAAAACTAAAGGCATAAATCTAAATTATCTGCATATGAATAGTGGTCGAAGCCATGACCATGGATATAGTTTTTCATTCTAAATATACAGCACCTATTATGATCCAGTTTATCAGCTTTAAGTTCAATTGTAACAGAAACCAAAATTAGTCTTAAAGCAAGACAGAAGTTTATTTCTCTCGCACATCAAGAGGTAGATAGTCCAAGGCATGTGTGGTAATCACCACCACAAAGGTACTCAGTGATTCAGAATACCCCTAGCTTTCAGCTCCCCAGTTCTGAAGTCAGACCCTCCTATTCACGGTTTAGAGTGAAGCTCTAGTTTGTTCATCCATGCTCCAAGCCTCAGGATGGAGGAAGAAGAGAGGAAGAATAAGCTGTCTTGGAGGAAACTTCCCAGAAGCTAACATTCAACTCTTTGAGTTATATGCCACTGGTCATAACTTAGCCCTGTAGTGAATACCTAGCTGCCAGTGAGGCTTGGAAAAGTACTCTTCAAGCATCCATGTGCTAAGCAAAATGCTAGATTTTCAGCAGGTGAAAAAGTTAGGGTAGAATGAACATCCTCTACCAGCCACTCCCTGCTAAAATTCGGGGATGCAATAGAAAATAAGACAGCAAAAGTAATGGCTTTTAAGCCAAAGAGCATTAGAAACATACCTAGAACTCAAAGTTGGGTTTATTAACTCTGCAGAAGTTATCTAGTTAAGAAGGTTAGGAATTAGGTTTTGTGTTAGGTGATTCAGGGAAGGAGGAAGGTTCAAGGAAGCAGGGAATCATTCTGAATTGGATACTATCAGGAAGTTGGGGCAGTTCTATGATTGCACATCTTAATAAATTCATCTAGGAGAGAGGAATGAAATGGCTAAAACTGGTTTAAAAAAAAAAGATATTATTGTACCCAATGGGGGCTGTTTAGGATTGTTTAGTATGTATAGTTTACACAGTGATCTTGTTTTCATCTGTGCTTAGACAAGATTGTGAACTTTGTCTTCATCACAGTCACAGAATGACCTCCTCTGACATTGGTTTTCTGTGAAGTTATGGTCAATGTGAGAGCACCATGACCTAGATGTGAGCACCAGGCTAGCTGGCAACTGGCCTAGCTCCTAGAGTCAGGCCAGTTCCCAGTTGTCAGGGGCTGTTTTTCTCCACAGTAAACAAATGAATAATTACAAATTGTGATTACTGATATAAAGGAAATAAATGGGGTATTACATAGAGAATAACAGTTGAAGACTACTCAAGACATGGTGGTTATGAAAGACCTGTGAGGAATCTGTAGCTGAAGTCACCTGGGAGGAAGATATCAAGTGGGAAGAAGAGAGGATTCAGGACTTAGCCTTGGGGAAAGCTGACATTAATGGCAAAGTTAGGAAGGGTAAGGGTGAACTTGATAAGGAAATAGGAAAGATGATGGGGAGAGACCTCAAGAGTGTGACATCTTCTGGTTGCTCACTCTGTGCCCGGTACCATGCTAAGTTCTTCACATGTATTGTCTTATTTAAGCCTCACATTCATTCATTGAATACTTTAGTGCTTTCTCTGAACCAGGTACTGTTTTAGGGGCTGGGACTATATCGATGAAAAAGACAAAATCCTCATCCATATGGTGATTACAGTCTATTGAGGATGATAGACAATACATACATGTGTAATATCTTAAGTAATAAGTGCTCTGAAGAAAAAGTGAAGGAAGAGGCTGGAGAGTGACAGGTGAAAGAGAACAAGTCAATATTATAATACATAGGGCTTCTCTGAGGAGATGACATGTGAATAGAGCCTGAAATGAGAAAGTGACCGTATGACTATCTGGGGAAAGTGCATTCCAGGTATTTGAAGTAAAAATAGAAGGCCAGTGTGGTTAAGACTGTGGGAGATGAGATCAGGAAGTTCAACAGGGGCCAGGTCATACAGAGCCCTGTAAGCCAAGGTGAAGAAAGCACTCGGATTTTATTCTAAGTGTTTTGAGCAAATGATTTACATTTTAAAACTACTACTGACTGAAGAATAGACTTAACAATGAGAATAACAGCAGGGAGACCAGTTAAGAGGCCACCTCTGTGTTCCAGGAGAAAGAGAAGGTGGTTTGGTTTGGGGTAGAGGTAGAGAGAAGTGGGCAGATTTGGGGTATGTTTTAAAGTCTCAGTTGATGGCAACTCATCTTTCCAGTTGCTCAGTTAGGAAACTTTGGAGCCATCCTTAATTTTTTATTACATCTGACAGCCAATTAGTTAATAAAACCTACTGGTTCTTTTTTCAAATATATCCAGAAATCAGTCCTTGTCGCCACCTCTACAGCTATCACCCATCTGAGTCACTATCATCTCTTAACAGGTCTTCCTGCTTCTGCCATTCTCCCCCACACTGCACCGCCTCGGTCTATTTTCAGCATAGGACCCAAACTCATCCTTTTATTTATTTATTTTTTAAATGTAAGCCAGGTCAGGTCATTCCTCTGCTCAGAACCTTGTAATGACTTCCATTTTAGTCAAGAGTAGAAGCCAAATCCTTAAGATGACCTAAAAGATCCTTCCCATACCAGACACTGCTGTACTTCTCTGTTCACCTCTCCAACAACGCCTTGCTTGCTCATGCACTCCAGCCATACTGTCCTCCTTGCTGTTTGTTCCTCGTATATGCCAAGTATACTTCTACTATAGGGCATCACGCCACTCATTCCTTCTTCCAGAAAGGCTCTTCTCCTGGAAACCTATGTGGCCAAAACGCTCCCCTTCTTCAAAGATTTGCTTGAATGTCACTCACCAAGACCTCAGGAACAGTCTATTTAATACTACAACCTGCCCCTCTGATACTTTTTACCTTAGTCTATATATTTTTTCCATAGCATCAGCTTCATGGTTAGAAATATAAGCAGAGATCTTTATTGAGTGATATCCCAAGACGCTACAAGAGTGCCTGGCACATATCATGCACTCAATGAATATATTTTTTAAATAAATTAACAAAGCAGACATGGCTTGCTTGATGTGGAGTGGGAATGGAGAAAGAGGATGATCTTTCAGTTTTGGCCCAAGATTGAAAGATGGTATGCTTGCTTGCTTTCTTTTCTTTTTTCTTTTCTTGTCTTGTCTTGCCTTGTCTTTCTTTTTCTGTCTTTTTTTCAATTTTAACTATTTTTTAATTTATTTATCTAAATTTATTTTTTCTCTGCTTTTACTTTTATCAGCATGTATTATATGCTGCATTTACTTCTGGGCCATACATTTTTGTTTCTTCAGTTTCTTCTGAGATACCTTTTTCTTCTGTACAGCCTCCTCTTTGGTTTAGGAACAGTCTGCTCCTTTGCAGTAAGGATCATCCCACTGTGGCAGGGAAAGCTCAGGCAGGGGATAACCCACCCACGAGCTCTGTAAATTCTGCGCTGCATCCTGGGAGCTTTGTTCACCTGGATGTGCTCAGTGACCAGAGAGTCCACATCTAACCCTTAAGCTCAGCATCATTCTCTGCATTGTTAAGCATGTGCAGCCAAAAGCACTCTTTTTGGGCCACCGACCATGCATCCAGCCCCACTCTTTGGCCTGGGCACACCTACCAACTCCACCATTGTAATGACGGAATGGCACACATTGCTTCTGTGAAGTGACATCCTTCTGATACTTGGTGGCTTTTTGGATATGCATACCCTTGATGGCCTGGACAGTTTCACAAGTGTTCTTAAAGTGAACATGAAGATTTGAGCCTCTCGATTTTGTGGGGTTTTCTGGGTCAAGTGAATAGCAAACCATTTTCAGAGGTCAGCACAGGCTGCTTATGGTAAGAGCTATTTAAATTTATTTTCTTTTGTCAAAATTTATTTTTAATTATAGTTGACATATAATGTTAGCTTCGGGTGTACAAAATAGTGATTTAACATTTACATACCTTACAAAGTGATCACTGCAATAAGTATAATAACCATCTGTCACCATACATAGTTATTATGATATCGACTATATTCTCTATGCTGTACTTTACATCCCCATGTGTTTTTATAACTAGAAGTTTGTAATCCCTTCCTCTTTGGCAACCATCAATTTGTTCTGTGTATCTATGACTTTGCTTCTGTTTTGTTTTGTTTGTTCATTTGTTTTTTAGTTTCCACATGTAAGTGAAATCATATGGGATTTGTCTTTCTCTGTCCTACTTATTTCACTCAACATAATACTTTCTAGGTTCATCCATGTTGTCACAAATGGCAAGATTTCAATCATTTTTATGGCTAAGTAATATTCTGTTGTATATGTGTGTGTGTCTTTATCCATTTGTCTATTGATGGATGCTTGGATTGCTTCCATATCTTGGTTATTGTAAATAATGCTGCAATGAACATAAGGGTGCACATATCTTTTCGAATTAATGTTTTGAATTTTTTCAGATAAATACACAGAAGTGGAATTGCTGGGTCATATGGTGTTTCTATTTTTAATTTTTGAGGAAACTCCATATTGTTTTTCATAGTGGCTGTACCAATTTACAATCCCACCAACAGTGCATGAGGATTCCCTTTTCTCCACATTCTTGCCAACTTATTTTTTGACTGATTAATGATAGCCATTCTGACAGGTATGAAGTGATATCGCCTTGCGGTTTTCATTTGAATTCCCCTAGTGGTTAGTAATGTAGAGCATCTCTTTATATGTCTATTTGTCATCTGTATGTCCTCTTTGGAGAAATATCTATTCAGGTCCTCTGCTTTCAACTTTTCTCCACTGAGTATGATATTAGCTGTGAATTTTTCATATATGGCTTTTATTATGTTGAGATATATTCCCTCTACAGGTAGTGCAGTTTCTCCTCCCTTACTGGAAACTTTTGACCTTATTGCATTCTATCTTTGTTTTTAAATTTTTTTATTAAAATATAGCTAACATGCAATATTCTATTAGATTCAGGTGTATACCATAGTTATTCAACATTTATATACCTATAGAAGTGATCACCATGATAAATCTAGCAACCATCTGACACTGTACAATGCTATCACAATATTATTGACTATATTCCCTATGTTGTACACCATATCCCCATGACTTTTTTGTTTCATATTTGAACCTCTTACCCTTTACATTCCCTCCCACTTTTTTGATTTTTCAGTTACGGTTGACATTCAATATTATTTTACATTAGTTTTAGGTGTATACTATAGTGTTTAGACATTTATATAATTTATAAAGTGATCCTCTGACTAGCACCCACCTGGCACTGTATATAGTTATTACCATATTGTTGACTATATTCCTTATGGTATGCTTTACATCTCCATGATTATTTCATAACTAATAATTTGTACTTCTTAATTCCTTCACCTTTATCACCCCATCCCTTAATTCCCCTCCTATCTGGTGACCATCAGCCTGTTCCCTGCATCTATGAGTCTGTTTCTGTTTTGTTTATTTTTTCTTTAGATTCTATGTATAAGTGAGTTCATATGGTCTTTGTTTTTCTCTGACTTATTTCACTTAGTACAATGTCTTCCAGGTCTTTGTTGTTGCAAATGGTAAGATTTCAATCTTTTTTCTGGCCGAGTAATATTCTATTATATATGTATACAATTTCTTTATCCATTCATCTACTGATGGGCACTTAGCTTGCTTCCATATCTTGACTATTGTAAATAATGCTGCAATGAACATAGTGGTGCATGTATCTTGTCAAATTAGTGTTTTGGATTTCTTTGGTTAAATACCCAGAAATGGAATTGCTGGGTTATATGGTACTTCTATTTTTAATTTATTGAGGAAACTCCATACTGTTTTCCATAGCGGCTACACCAATATGCAATTGGTGGTACAATTTCTTGATGTCAGGAAATGTGGAAGAGACAAAGGCTCGAGGAATAAAAACACGAGCTCAGTTTTGTACATATTAATTTGAGATGTTTATCAGAGATCTCAGAGAGTATGTCCAATAAGCAATTTGATTACTGAGCCTGAAGCTTAGGGCAGAAGTAGAGGCCAACAAGAGACTTTCGGGGATCTTCATCAGTTATGGATGGTATTTAAAAGTCATGAGACATAGGTCATAAGTTTAAAGAAGCGTGTCAAATAATGGGCCCCAAGTAACTCCAATATTTAGATTTCAGGAGGAGGTGCCAGGAAAGGAGGGAAGAGGCAGTAGCTACTGAGATGGAAAGGCAATCTGGAGAGAGCACTGTTCCTGAAGTAAAAGGAAGGAGTGACCATCTGTATCACATGCTGCTAGGAGACTAAATAGGATAAGGACAGAGAACTGGCCCTAATCTGTGGGCCCTTGGCAAGGTGGATTCATGCCATTCAGCAACTGTAGTTTAAGGATAGAATGAGAGTTGATAGGGCTGATAGGTCCCTTACTATTAAACGGTAGTATTAGAAGTGAACCCAAATCATGATTGTGGTGGTGGTTTAATGGGTGTGTGTGTGTGTGTGTGTGTGTGTATTAAAACTTACCAACGACTATACTTTGCCATTTGCCCGTCAATGTAATGTATGTGCATTTTATTGTATATTACACCTCAATAAAGCTTTTGCAAAAAAAAATAATAATAAATAAATCTAAGCTTCACCGCACCGTGATTTCTGTTAGGCTAGACATATATTAACACTAGACTGACAAGGCTTCTTCATAAGTACACCGACTGACCCTTTCTGCCCCTAAGCAGACGTAAGGGGCTGGTCGAAGGCAGCATCCACTAAAAAAAAGAAAAGGATGCTTCCACTCCGTAGTAATCAGAAATTAGTCATGCGGCATCACGGAGTCACGGAGCAGGGATCACCACAAGGTCGTTAAAGCTCTGCTTGGGAGCCTGGAGCAGGCAGACTCCGACCCCGCCCTGTCACTGCCGACCACGCCCGCACCGGGCCACAGGAACGCCCCCGAGAAGGGAAGGCGCGCACGTGCGCCGGGTGGGGCCGGCCGCGCCGGCGTGGAGATCCCGCCCCATTCGGAGTCCCACGCTGTCGGAAACGGAAATAGCACACGGCTCTGCCTGAGTAGCCATAACTGCCACCGCCATGCCGAAAGGACCCAAGCAGCAGCCGCCTGAACCCGAGTGGATCGGGGATGGAGAGAGCACAAGCCCCGCAGGTGAGACTCGTGGGGAGGGACGGAACAAGAGAGGAGAGTGCGCGTGTTTTAGGAGAGGGTCGCCAGACGCTAGGTTGACCGGGCCGTGTGGGGTTACTGCGCATGCGTGCAATGGGGCGGGGACGTTTGCCCCGGCAGCAGTGGGTTTGGGGTGGAGGCAAAAAAGGTGGTGTGGTGTTGCGCACGAGCTTAAGTGGGACTGGGCAAGAGACGAGGAAGAGCATGTGGTACCGAGGGAGAGGTGGGGAGAAATGAGAAAGTCTTTTCTTATGAACATCTACCGCACCACACTATTCTACATCCCACAGAAATATGTAAGCTCTGCTTGGACCTCATCCCCCCGCCGCCTCGCACAAATAAATACACACCTCTCGGGAGGCCACGATCCCTTCCACT